TAATTTTTATTTTTACCCAACAGTGCATATTGTAACAAGTTGAAAGTTAATCTAATACACTAATTACTTCTTATTTCTGTACAGGGAGAAGCCACTAACTCTTTACATCTTTACGGAGCACAAAAATATTCCAAACCTCTTTTTAGCACGCACATCTAGTGGCAGTTCCTGTGTGAATGACACTATGATTCACTTGTCAGGTAGTTATTTGTAGAAACTGCTTTGTACAATGACCCTTTTTTGTATTACTTAACAGAGGTAATTGAACTGCTGAACTGATGTGATTGTACATACTAAATGATGTGAGGGTTTTATAGTTGCATATTTGTTTTGTCTTGAGAAACTTTTATTTCCCTCCTACAAGTGTACTGATAGTTGTCTGCTCTTTAGGTTTTTGTTTGTGATGCCTTTTACCCATTAGTAAATTTACTTTCCACTGTAATTATTTGTGAACTTTGTTGCATGCTAGTGGCTCCACAAGTGCTCAACCACTAAGGAGTCAAAGTTGTAGGCCCTACATGACCTCACCTGATTTCTCCAAGCCCTGTTTTTTTTTTTTTTTTACTATCATATTGTTACAGTTATTATCTTAAAAAGGTCTTAAATTCCTTCAGCTTGCAAGAATCTTGTTAAAATGTTAATAATGATAAGAAATGAAATAGAATTTCCAAAAATCAAGGAGAAGGGTAAATAGGTGAGATAAGAAGGGCTAGTAATTGGAATCCTTGGTGATGAAACACTTGTGGACCCATCTATAGGTAAACACAGTTAATGAACTAAAATTACTTTGGACATGGCATGCATGTCATGCCATTCATTGGGTTCAGTAAACTTTAATAAAAGCAGTTATTGGTTGAAGTATTTGAAGTCAGATTCCAAGTATGTATCTCAATTTCTGATTTTCAGCATTTATTAACCCATTTTCAACGGGTGTCCCACATATGAGACACCCTGGGGAAGAAAATTGACGGGCGTCATGCCAGTGTAACACTGTATCGGGGCTCGTGCTCCGACTCAGCAGCGGGCCGTGTCCAGCACTTGGGCAGAGTACAGGCCAGCCCCATGTGCCGATTTTGTAGCCACCCGGAAACTTTTATTTTCGGGCGGACAGACTCCGGGGAAGCTCCGCCCGCCGATTTTGTAGCCGCCCGGATTATTTTAATTTTGGCTACAAAATGTACCCGGCGTGAGTGGGTTAATCTAATACACAAATTACTTCTTACTTCTTGGGCAGAGTACAGGCCAGCCCCATGTGCCGGTTTTTTTAGCCACCCGGAAACTTTTATTTTCGACTTATAAATATAACGGTGTTAGTGGATTAAGACAAAATTGTATTGTGAAAATCTGACCATTTTTATCTGTGTGTTGTGATATGCATGGTGTTCACTTGACTTTTTTACACGGTGCATTTTGCTCTAGCACAAAAAACAGTGAATGCTTTCCCTGCACAATGCACTACCAGTTGATTATAGTTAACAAACTGTCCTTGCACAGAAGACATCATGAAGACTTGTTGAGACTAACATGACTTACTTTTCTGATTGAGGATGTCAAAGGGGCTGTAAACTGATTGAAATTATTTCTATATTACACACACATTAGAGACAAACATAGATAGAAAGGTAAAATATAACATGCATTGTAGTTCAGACAGGTAAACTTTTCAAGCTCTAAAGTGGTGGCCATTTTGGTTATGACAAATGAGCAGTAAGGCAAAGCAAACTACCTGAAACCCTTCCCCTCTATGCCACACAACACCTTGTGAAATTTTTTGTTAGTTAGACTGTTCAGTTGATTTTGCCATGCATGGCACATTGTGATTTGGTCAAGTGAACACAGGGATGATGTTATTGTGTGAGGACTAATAACTTTAGCAATATTTGGCCTGATTTATGAATAGCCAGTATTTAGTATGGAAGAGTATTACAATGATAACATTCAAATGTTTTTTTGCTCTAATTATGTCACATATATGAGACACCGGGAAAAATAAACAATGTCGGGCTGACCGCCAGTGCGATGCTGTCTCGGGGCTCAAGTGAACACAGGGATGATGTTATTGTGTGAGGACTAATAACTTTAGCAATATTTGGCCTGATTTATGAATAGCCAGTATTTAGTATGGTAGAGTATTACAATGATAACATTCAAATGTTTTTTTGCTCTAATTATGTTATTTTGTTTGGTGAGTACTAAAATCTGCTCTCAGTGTTGATCTGTTAATGAATGATATTCATAAAAGGGGCTACCTCTGGGTGTCTAAAGTGAATTTATGTGTTAGGTAGTATATATAGAATTTAATGAGAAGTTTACTAGTTATGTAATATGTTTGCAGAATGTACATTTTTTAAAAGTATGGCTTCTTCTTGAATTACCATGAATTATGTGTTTTATAGAACATATATGTAAGTAGTTGTATATAGACATAGAAACAGTCACAGATGGAATAGATACCTTTTCATTAAAATAGTCGTAGGGCTTTACATCTGATAACACTTCCATAAGTGTTGTGGTGGTAGGCTGGTTTCCTATTACCTCACTCTGTCAGTGCTAGATGCCAAGTCAATCCAAGTCAATCAACGTGCTGCCATAAGCTAGAATACTGGCTTGAAGAGGTTGTTAGACCAGGGAGATTTCTAATGAGGTTTTAAGTAGTCTGTCTCCCCACTTAAACCAGCAGCCCCATTCTGGATTAATTGTAAATCTTAATATCCGTTTCAAGTGTGTAGCTGTCTGAAGGATTGCAGGGGATAACCAGTCCCATGGTTAATTTAGCAAGATTTATTCTTTTGTATAAATTGATAATTGTTATCAACAAATGGACTTAATCTTACAAAGAGTTTGGCTGAAACTGCCTCTGAAGTTTGCTTGGCTGCAGAACAAAATTTGAATTCCAAATGTTTCAAAATATTAAGATGATCTAAAAGTGAATGCAAAAGGCAATTATAACAAGTGAAATCGAGAGAAAGTGAACAAGTGAGTGAATAAATAGATTAATAAATGATAAAGTAAAGAGAAAGAGAGCTAAATGAATTGATGAAGAAAGATAAAGATAATGAATGGAGAGTATGAAGGAATGAATAGATGAGAGAAATGATAAAAATGTTGCAGAAGATTGCTTAAACCACTAGCAGGACTAGTGGTACATTTTCAAGCTAAAAATGATAATTTTCGGGCAGCTTCAAAATCGGCGTGCAGGCGAGTCTGGGAACCTGCCTGCGGGCCACTCGCCATAGGTGACAAAATCAAAGCGCAAGCTCCGATCTAGCATCGCACTGGTGGGATGACCAATAATGTTTACTTTTCTGGGTGTCTCATATTTGTGACACCTGTCATGAGTGGGTTAACCAAGTGTGCACTTACATTGTCTGCAATGTATGATTTTTTTTTACACATGAGTTGCTCCAGAAGTTCTTAATTAACTAGGTGTCAATTATTACTTATCACACCACTTACCACTTTCCTTAGGAGTTAGTCCCTATTTCAAGGTCACAAAGGTTTCACTCTTTCCTGAAATTTGGCTTTCTAGTGGAACACTTAAGGAGAGTGTTACCCCAAGACCTTGAGAAAAAAATATGCAGGCACACCCTTACCAACTGTCAGACATTTTGCCACCTCTTGCTGACCCAGTACATGATGCCTCAGCATCTTAGCCAATATGAATGTTTCCAAAAATACAATTGAAATCACTATGAGAATTCTCTTGAAATTTAATATAGTAGGAAAATGGTCAAATTCATTTATTAATTAGAATTATCATAAAACACCAAAATAGATGAGAATTTTTTCTCAGCTTGGACTCACCTGTTACAAGCATTTTTTTTCAAGTGAAACATGTTTTAAATTTTTGTGGAATCATATATGCAGGTATTGTTATTTTCTTTTGTTTATTAATTATATTATTATTTAGTTGTGTCACTTTTTGGGGGGATAGAGGGCTCTTTACATAAAATATAATGTACACTCACCAACCATAAGTATACCACCTAAGTCAACCCTGTGATGAGACATGGAGTGTTTCTGGGCGACGGCTCAGCCAAACTATGACGGACAACAAACGTACTCTAATGAATAATCGTGGTCAAAACTTTTCTATAACATGTTTTGAATTCTGTTTCAAACATCTGCTCGATTCCACACTTTTTGTGTTGGGTAAGACAGATTTATAACTTCTATTCATTAAAAGACATTTGATCGTTACTGAACCCTCCAGGTATTTAGTGGTTGAAGTATAGTCACTGTGTCGCATTAAAGAGGACGCTGATATGGACTAGATTCTTAACTGACGAAAGATGCAATTATTCATTTAAATATATCATGCATTTTAATACAACACAATGACGATAATTCAACCACGAAATGTCTGTCATTGTTTAGCTGAGCCATTGTCCAGAAACGCCCCATGCCTCATCGCAGGGTCGAAAGTAGTTGTATACTTTTTATGGTTGGTGAGTGTACATGATGAAGCAAGTGAACAAGCAGGTCTTATGACAAATTACTCATTTAGGACTGGGATAGACATTAAATTGGAATCCCATATGTGCTGACTATGTAGACAACATAGAAGAGTTTTATCATCTTCCCTTCCATAACTGTTTGTAGAAAAATGTATATTGAGTATATATGTTTACTCAACATGAATTGAATACTCTCCTTTCTTTTCTATTAGCTTTGGTTAGTATTTGATGACCTACATGCTCATTTGGATTTCAGTCAAATGTGATTTCAATTCAGGGTGATAACAGTGCCAGTATGAATTTTTGACTGAACCTGAATAAGCACAAAAAATATTGCATTTGTTTAACAGCATTGTAAGTAGTGGAGATATCATTTCAGTATCTTGTACTTATGTTCATATAATCCTCCATTCATGCAGTACAAGGAAAGCACAAATGAATCTGCAGAGACTGTACAATATTTAGAAGACTTGCCCTTGTAATACATTTTGGCTGTACTTTGATCATATGGTTTTTTATATAAATATTCCTCTTTCCTTATAGAGAGAAGCCGTTGGCTCTGTATGTATTCTCAAACAGTAAAGACCTAGTAGAGGTTTTCATGGAACAAGTGCCTTATGGTGGCTGTACTGTCAATGATGTGGTATTCCATGCTGCAGGTAAAAAAGTTTTAAGGGTATCTGCATCTTGAAGTGACAAGCTAAAGCTTTTTTTTATGAATTTTCAATTGTGGAGTGATTGTCTAAAGCTTTTTATGTTGAATTTTTGCTGTGGAATGACCAACTAAAGCTTCTTCTGTTGGATGTTAGATATTTTAGGAAAAGCTATTAAAGCAGCATTAACTGTATTATGCAGCTGCTGTTGTTTATATGTGATTGTGGTATCTAGTGTAAATCATTGACAGTTGAATCACTTGTTTATCAGTTTGACATATTATTAATATTGTTATTATTGTTACTATTATTATTGTTAAAATTATTTTTTTCCATTATTAACATTATCTTTGATTATAGTTATCATTATTGTTATTTTATCATTATTGTTATTTATTGAAATTATTATAATAGTTATTATTGTCATTAGTGTTTTTATTATGATTGTTGTATTATAATTATATTTATTATTATTATTTCTATTAAGATTATGATCTTGTTTATTTTTTCATTTTATTATTATTAGTTTTAGTATTATGGTTATTTTTATAGCTGAGTATTTTATTATTATTATTAGTAGTAGTAGTAGTAGTAGTAGTAATAATAAAATAATAATAACAATAACAATACTAATATTGCTAATAATAATGATAAAAAAATATTAATGATATTATTATTATTATTATTTTATTATTACTATCATTAATATTTTTTTATCATTATTATTAGCAATATTAGTATTGTTATTGTTATTATTATTTTATTATTATTATTGTTATTTTATTAATATTGTTATTGTTATTATCGCCAAGATTACCATCCATAGATAAAACTTCCCCCATTAAATTTATACTGGTGAAGTGTCCCACCATGTCAAATCATACTGTTACCCTGTTCCCCTGTTTTCTCTTCCTACCATTCTCCCTACAGATCCTATGCTCCCCTTCTCCATGTGCACCATTCCCTGGTCTTTCCCCATAATCCTTACCGCTCCCACCTGGATGCTCACGTGACTCCCTTATGTCACAACAATGTCCTTCTCTGGATCCTTCCCCTCCTGACATTCTTACTGATACTTCATCACTTTCCCCAAGTCTCTTATCTGATTCCCTGGATTATTCTCCTTGTACTTCTCCAACACCCATTCCTACCTGTATACATGTTGATTGTTCCCAGAGACAGATACGCTCCATTTCATCCAATTGCCCCACACCTTTAACCCCTTCCTCTTTTACTAATCCCTGCCTTACTGCATTTGCTCCCCCTCTGTACCCTTTTCACTACCATACTATCCTATAGTGCTCTTTAACCTTTGAAATCTAACACATTTTATCCTATTTGTTAACTTATTTTTACCCCTTTTTAACCTTCCACAGTACTTTATCATAATGCTGTATGATCATAAATGTCTAGCACATTTAATTGTTTCAACCATTAACCTGTTAAGCATCACCAACGTGTCATGTAGTTTTCTGTCCCCCCCTCCCCCCCTGCCTGCGTGCTTTTTGAGAAAAGGAAAGGGAAATATGGGAGGAGGGAGAAGAGGGAGAGGTGTGATATGGGAAAAGAGGGAAATGGGGGAGATGTGAGAAAAGGAAGTTGGGGGACGAGGGGGATGGCGGGAGAAGGGAGAACAGGGAGAGGAGGGAGATGGAGGAGGGGCTCGGGTGGGTAGGAGGAAGGCAGACGGGGAGGGTGACGCTCCCAAAACGCCAGCGGTCACAGAGTGTGACACTTACCAGGTTAACCAGCCTATAAAGGCATGTCAGTGAAGGGGGTTACCAATATAGATATGTGTGTCATTAGATTTTATTGTGTTATTGATTGTTTGTGTGGAATGTCTTGCTTCCTGTTATGATGTTGCATGATTTTCATCGAATGCATGCATATTTAATAGATATAAGTACTGTAAGCAAGTATAAAGGACTACTTTGGATTCATATTTTTGTTGTTTGCTTTTGCAGTGTTTTTTGGACATTTTACCTAATATTTGGAATGCTGCAACTTAGATTTTTTGTGGTGTGTTTTGTGAATTCAGTGGTTCAGTTTTTTATTATTATAACAGCTTTAATTTATTAATTTGATTTATCAAAGATACACATTTTTTGTCATTCTTATTATTTCACCAGATTGTTCAGTGAATACAATACATTTTTTTGATTACTGTAAAGTTGCTTTAATTAACTAACCACTTCATATACCAAGCAGGTCTGTAACCTAAAGTTTACAAGATATTAAAGTTCAGAATTTTAATACTGCATAACATATTTCAATCTCAGTCTCAGGACAGTATCAGTGTTATAAGATTTCGAACACATTTTTAGTGAGTATATATACTTGCTAACATTTGATTTTCTTATGTTTTCAGTTCATGACCTACCTTTTGGTGGCATTGGAAACAGTGGAATGGGAGCTTATCATGGCAAAGCTTCCTACGACACTTTTACTCACCGTAAATCCTGCCTTATTCGGAACTACAACAAGATTGCCGATGTTATTGGAGCGTGAGTAATTTCTTTGCGAATTTTCAGTTTGTTTATTCCTAGCAAGGCTTGGTTGAGAGAGTTTCCTAATTGACTAGACTGAGTTGTTTAAATTTGAACTAGCATTGTAATTATTTTTCCTTCCAGGACAGGTCTTTATAATATACCATAGTTATGAGTGGATTAGGAATATTAAAGGTTGTTACTAGTTAGTACAAGTTTGCCAAAAAAATTCATTTTTCACCTTCACTCTAAAAAGTGCTGTTTTTCATACTGTTTAAAAAGAATTTGTGTAATATAATGATATTTTGTTAATAGACTGCATTTTACCAACTGTGACAAGTATAAACTGGAGGGAAACCGTGATTATTCCCAAATGGCATGGTCATTATACCTAAGAAATAACTATCTTCTGATTTTCTATGTTTTCACTTTAGTTAAACCAACCAAAAAGGTATGCATTTGGTTTTGATATCTCTTAGGTATTACAATGCCAGGACTCAAGTGGACTGATTTTTCAGTCCTTTATATTATTTATAATGTGAACTAACCCATTTTTAATTTATGCCTTATTTCTTTTTCACAGCAAGCGTTACCCACCATACAGTGAGAGCAACATGAAGTTCCTCTCCAACATGCTCAAGGAACGAGCAACTCCCAACTTAAAGTACTTGCCATATTTTCTTACATTTGGCCTTGGTGTTGCTTCTGTCTTTGCTGTAAAGGAAATTGCCAAGGTAAGAATGTATGGTATATATACATATACACGCATACACACATACCCAAATGTACAACACTTGAAAAATTTCTGAAATATCAACATTTAAGGTCATAAGTGGTGTATTCAAGATTTAGTGATAAGGTGAGCTTGGGGGCAAATCCCCAGGTAAGGAAAGGTCTTACAGCACTATGATAAAGTATTGAAGTTAAAAGGTTAAAAATGAGTTAATGATTAGGCCAAAATATGTAAGATGTCAAAGGGAGAGCACTGTGTGTTAGTCTGATAGTGAAAAGGATAAAAAAGGGATAGCAAATAGAGTCCAGGACTGACACAAAGCCAGCCTTTCATCCTTTTAGCACAGCTCTCACAATTTAGGATGTGGACAGAGGAAGGGGATGAAGAAGAGAAGGAAAAGGAAAGGGGGAAAAAGGACCATGCATTGGGCCTACATTGGGCCTCAATATCCGTCTCCTAAGCCCCCTCCTCCCCAACAGCAACGAGCAAGGGATTGAGGGGGCAAATGTACAAAAGCACACAAATATACACAAGTACTTAAATGTACTTACACATGCATATTCCTCTGTAAAAAAAAATATGTATTAAATTTCATACATAATTTAGTTGGTACCTTTGCTCTCATTATCATTTGTTTTTGAGAGACTGGGAGTATCAGTAAGAATAAGAGTAAGAATAAATGAATGAAAGTGGGAGTAAGAGTGGTGTGTAGTGTAGTATAATGCAGTGTTAAAAAAAAAAAAAAAAAAAAAAAAAAAAATTAAGAAAAGAAAAAAAAAAATGGCAGAGGAATGCACAGAAGTCAATATCATAGGCCGACAACTGATATTTTGGCGAGGGTGCAACAGCGCTACACCCTAATTCCTCACAAGTTGTTGTAGCCAGAAAGGTTCAGGTACGCATCTACGAAGATCAAAAATGGTCTCGCAATTATGACATTAACTTTTTTGTATTGATATTTGCTTCAAACCAGTTGTTAGGTTTGACTGTTACCTACACTTCAACTCTGGGTTTTAATACTTGCTTGAAATATGCCACGAGTGCTTAACTGCAAAACTTGGCATAATTCTTTATATTGTATGTATGTAATCCTTTTTATATTACTAGTCACTTGCACATTCTGGGCTATTTTCAGGTCCAGATCTTATGCCTACGGTGTTAGTGGTTCTTAATGTTTTTAGGTAGAGATCCTTTCTGTTCCTACCAATTATGATTGCAATTAAAACTGCTTAATCCAAATATGATAGGTGTTGACAGTAGATGAAGTCTCATCAGGTAATGCACAGGAGAAGTAGACCCTCAGAGTAGGCCTCTTTAACCAAGAGCAAAGAGAGCAGTCATTTTATGTTTTCCGTGATTCTTATTCAGTGTGCTTGGTTGGTTGGTTCTGATACATATAAAGAACAGGACAACAACAGGTAGTTATTGTCAGATTGATAGTAAATCTGAGGATTGGCTATGCTAGATAGAATGGTTAATAGTTACAAAATATAAATGTGATTGACATCAAAGGTCATCTAGAAAGATGTGTTAGTGAAAAGGGTAAAGAGGGAGATAGTTGATTAAATGTGCTTCTTGTCGAAAGTCATTGGCTATGCTAGATAGAATGGTTAATAGTTACAAAATATAAATGTGATTGACATCAAAGGTAATGTAGAAAGATGTGTTAGTGAAAAGGGTAAAGAGGGGGATAGTTGATTAAATGTGCTTCTTGTCGAAATTCAATGCAGCTGCAGTGCAAAAGAATGTAGAAAGATGTGTTAGTGAAAAGGGTAAAGAGGGGGATAGTTGATTAAATGTGCTTCTTGTCGAAAGTCATATAGCAGTTCAGTATAGAATGGCATTGAAAGGGGCAAAGTAGGATGAGGGTAGAGAGAGTGAATAAATGTGCTAAGGTAGGGATTAACAAGGGTGATTAGATCAAAGTTGTCAAAGGAAACAATGTGGGATGCAAGGATGTCAGTAGGGTAAGTTAGGGATTAGCAAAAGGAGAAAGGGGGATCAAGGGTGATTAGATCACAGTTTCAGGAGAAATGTCAAGAGGGAGAGAATCCAAGTAAGAGGGTTGTGACAAAGGGTTACAGTTATAGAGGCATATGAGGGGTAGAGGAAGAAGTAGGTGAAGGAGAGGGTGAGGTAGGAGATGGGATAGAACATTTAGATTGTTTGCTATGGATATAGTGAGAAGGTAGAGGCATAGGTGTCGGCAGTGATAGAGATTGGGGTGTCTGGATATGCAAAAAAAAAAAAAAAAAAAAAAAATCTTGGGAGGAAGGGGGAGGGGTGGAGTGAAGGGCAATGCTGTAGTAGGGAGCAAGAGAAAAACCTCGTTAATATGCTTCCTGTCTGGCCTAACGTAAAGTGAGGCCAAGTTTGAATCTGAGAGTTGCCACCTCACTCTCATATTTGTAGGTAGGTTAGCCCCAATAAAATGCATCATTGGCACATATACACGACTGTGCTGAACAGTTTGATCGATGATGAGCAGGTTGGGCACATAGAGGGCATTGGGCTGTGGAGTGGCAGTGTTTGCCAACAGATGCCAACAATTCCAACATTGACAGGGGGAGGTCATGTCTATAGAAAGTAATCTTGGCAATATTGGTGGAGGACTTATGGCGGCCATTAGGGATAATGGTGTAGCATTGTACTGATACTGCATCATATTCCATATTGCAGGTGAGTAAGTCTTCTCAGTCTGACCAATCCTTGTTGTAGAAAGGGCAGTTTGTCAGGGAGATGGAGACAGATCCAGTACAAGTTTTGAGGCAGGGATAAGGCTGGGTAGGAATGTGTTTGTGAAGTCGGTTAGGGTTGATAATGCTGTAGCATGGGATTCAGATGTTTTTTGAAGGTATTTCTGTAAGTGGAGAGTGTTGTCAGAGTAAGGGGAAGTAGAGGGGATCACAGAAAATCAATCCCATTTGGCTGGGCTAAACAGAGTACTCAAAATATTTGTAGAGGTAGGGGTAGTAGGACGTAGCCTTTTGGAATAAGGAGTAGCATTGAGTGAAGTAGTACTGCAGAGAGGATAAATAAAGCTGCTGAGAAAGTAATAGGGGATGAGGGTTTAGTGGATCAAAAGTAGTGGGGGAGGAGGAGATGGAGCAGCAATTGTTGGGAGAGGAGGCAGTAATGATCATGGTGGATGATTTGGACTGTACTAAGGTGTTCATAGGCATTTAGAAGTATTCAGAATTTTTGTCAAAGGAGAGCCTGGTGTCAGGGGAACCAGGGAATTAAAATTAGTGGGGCTAATTGATAAAGGGGCAACCTCTTTGCAAAATCTTCATTACTGGCCTGGTGTATGTTGGGGAGGGAAATGGCCCTCCCCTCAGAGTCTCCTTGAGGACTATACAAATAAACTAGGGAATACTGGGGCCATGGCTCCTTGAGGCCGTTCATGGCTGTCACACAGTCAGCCTTTCATCCTTTCAACATGGCTCTCACACCTTAGGAAGTGAATGATAGGTGTTGCAGAAGAGAAGGAAAAGGAGAGGGGAAGAATAGAAGACTATGCAAAATGAGGTGCATCAAGGTAGGGTTCATCCCTGACATTGGGCCTCAGTCTCCATCTCCATCTCCTAGCTCCCACACCATGAAACAACATGCAAAGGATTGGAGGGGTATGATAGATGTAAAAAAAAGTACAGACAAGTTGTAATTGTTAGATTACAAAAGTAAGATTTGACACAGCCTTCTGGTTGATTTTTTAGAAAGTGATTTCCAGTGGAGACAACTGATATTGTGAAAATATTATTATTGTTTAATGAGGTACATTGTATGTAGGTACTAAATACATATAAATGTGAATAAATTCCTACTTTAAAATACAGTTTTATAGTCTTGGTTAAATCATTAGGTTTTAAAGTTTTGTATTCAGAAGTCCTCATTCTCCAAAGTAGGGTTCACAAAATCTTGTATAAACCCGTTTATTGTAGGGTTTGTAGAAAGAGTCTCTTCTATGTCTGCTCTTTATTGTTGTTAAGCCTTGACGGTTATAGACATCGCCGCTAGGGCATACATTTGACCGGTCATAGAAAATGGATTGCATGTCGTTACACGGGTATCAAACATGATAATTGTTAGTCAATTTACACATAGGAACTATGTTAATACATAACAACTATCATTGCAAACACGATGTACAGTTGTGTAAAAATATTAAATGAGTTAAACTATAAAATAAACAAACCTCAGTGTTTTGAATGTAAAACTAAACTTAGCCATGAATGACACAAGATACTCTTTGCTGTTCCAACCAAAATTATTTAGTTTTTCTCATTGTGGTTCCATTTCATATAATTTTACATTGCATTCTGGAAAATGAAAAATTATGCAAGAAAAATCATTGTTTTGATGCTTCACCTTTTTTCCTACCAGAAAATTCCCTCCCAAAACCTAGCCCGTTGATGTCGTGGGAGGGCTTAGGAGACAGAGACAGACCCAATGTAGAGGATAACCCTTACCTTGGGCCTCAGCCCTTGCCTCAGCTAATTTTGCTTGGTCCTTCCTTCTCTTCTTTCCTCTTCCGTATTTTCTTTATTTCCTAAAGTGTGAGAGCCGTGCTGAAAAGATGAAAGGCTGGCTTTGTGTCAGTCAGGAACTGCCTCCAGGAGCCATGGGCACGGTATTCCCTTGGTTAAGTACCTAGCTTTTATCCCTTATGGGGACCCTGAAGGGTAGACTGTTTCTTTTCCCCAGATTATTCAGGCTCACCATGGCCAATAATGAAGATTCATTACCCTTAATAGAGGCATTAAGTCTTGCCCTTTCATCAAATAGCGTATCTGAATTTGATTTTGATGGTTTTTTGACTCCTGTCCCTCCATTGACAAGGCTCCGACTACTGATGCTCATCCCCAACATTTTCCTCTTCATCTCCTGCTGCACAACCCTCTTCAATGTCAACCCCCTCTTCCCTTATTACTACCCTTCATCCTTATTGTCCTTCCCTCTGCAGAACTACTCCACTCCACACCTCCCCATCTTCCTCTCGCC